GGGAAACCACATCTCTACAAAAAATACAAAACTTTGCTGGGCATGGTGGTGGGTGCCTGTAGTCCCAGCTTCTCTGAGGTGGAGGATCTCTTGAGCCTGGGAAGTGGAGGCTGAAGTGAGCCGTGATTATGTTACTGCATAATCTGGGCAACAGAATGAGACCCTGGAAGAGCCAGGGATGGTGTACAGATCTACTTCTGCATTCCAGGCTGCAGAGCCAACTGCCTATTTGGGATTTCCTTGGCTTTCTTACAGATACTGCATTGGTCTGTTTTTGCATTGCTATAAAGAAATACCTGAATCTGGGTAATTTATACGAAAAAAGGTTTAGTTGGCTCACAGTTCTGCAAGCAATACAGGAAGCATAACACTGGCATTTGCTTCTGAGGGGGCCTCAGGAAGCTTATAATTATGGCAGAAGGGGAAGGGGGAGCAGGCATCTCATATGGCAGGGGCAGGAGCAAGACAGAAAAAACAGAGGGAGGTGCTACACGCTCTTAAACAGTCAGATCACATGAGAATTCACTCATTTTCAGGAGGATAGCACCAAGGAGGTGGTGCTAAGCCATCCATGAGAAATCCATTCCCATGATCCAGTCACCTCCTGCCAGGCCCCATTTCCAATACTGGGGATAACAATTCAACATGAGATTTGGGCAGGGACACATTTCCAAATTATGTCAGATACCTTATTCCAAAACCGAACTCCTGATTCTCAACACCTCTCTCTTAGCTTGTCTTCTCACCAGTTATCCATCTCAGAAAAGGAAGCTGCCGTCCCTCCAGGGGCTCAGACCTGAAGCCTGGTATCATCTCTGGTTTTTCCCTTGCCCTTATGCTTCAAATATAATCCATCAGCTCAGCCCCTCATTCTACTTATAAGTCCGTATCGGATTCCTCCTCTTCTCTATTCCAACTGCCACCACCTAGGTTAGGCCAGCATCATCTCTTTCCTAGACTGCTGGAAAAGCCCTTTGACTTCCCCGTTCTTCTTTGTACAATTCATTTTTCCAGACTGCTGATAGGGTCTTTGTAAACTGTTAATGAGATCATGTTACTTCTCAGCTTAAATCTTTCATAGCACTTATAGAACAAAATCCTCACTCCTTCCTGTGACCTGCAAAGACTTGGATCCTATGACTCCAACCTCCCTGTCCTGCCTCTTCTTATGCCGTCTCCTCCTTGTCCATTGTCCTCTGGCCACGCTGGTCGTTCATTCTTGAATGGCTGGCTTCTTATCTTTTAGGTGTCCTGGTGGTTAATACTGAGTGTCAATTTGACTGGATTGAAGGATACAAAGTATTGATCCTGGGTGTGTCTTTGAGGGTGTTGCCAAAGGAGATTAACATTTGAGTCAGTGGGCTGGGAAAGGCAAACCCACCCTTAATGTGAGTGGGCACAATCTAATCAGCTGCCGGCAATATATGCAGGCAGAAAAATGTGAAAAGAGAGACAGGCCTAGCCTCCCAGCCTTCATCTTTCTCCCGTGCTGGATGCTTCCTGCCCTCGAACGTCAGATTCCAAGTTCTTCAGTTTTGGAACTTGGACTGGCCCTCCTTGCTCCTCAGCCTGCAGATGGCCTATTGTGGGACCCTGTGACTGTGTGAGTTGATACTTAATAAACTCCCCTCCTTTATATATTTCCTTCCTTCCTTCCTCTCTCCCTCCCTCCCTTCCTTCCTTCCTTTTTTTTGGAACGAAGTTTCGCTATTGTTGCCCAGGCTGGAGCACAAGGGCATGATCTCGGCTCACTGCAACCTCTACCTCCCAGGTTCAAGCGATTCTCCTGCCTCAGCCTCCTGAGTAGCTGGGGTTACAGGTGCCCGCCACCATGCCAGCTAATTTTTGTATATTTAGTAGAGACGGGGTTTCACCGTGTTGACCAGGCTGGTCTTGAACTTCTGACCTCAGGTGATCCACCCCCCTCGGCCTCCCAAAGTGCTGGGATTACAGGCGTGAGCCACCACGCCTGGCTCGCTCGCCCCTTCCTTCCCTCCTTCCTTCCTTCCTTCCTTCCTTCCTTCCTTCCTTCCTTCCTTCCTTCCTTCCTTCCTTCCTTCCTTCCTTCCTTCCTTCCTTCCTTCCTTCCTTCCTTCCTTCCTTCCTTCTTTGAGACGGAGTCTTGCTCTGTCACTCAGGCCGGAGTGCAGTGATGCAATCTCCACTCACTGCAACCTTTGCCTCCCGGGTTCAAGCCATTCTTCTGCCTCAGCCTCCTGAGTCACTGGGACTACAGGCGTGGGCTACCACGCCCGGCTAATTTTTGTATATTTAGTAGAGACGGGGTTTCACCATGTTGGCCAGTTGGTCTCAAACTCCTGACCTCAGGTGATCTGCCCGCCTCGGCCTCCCAAAGTGCTGGGATTACAGGCCTGAGCCATCACACCTGGCCCCTTTAGATACATCTATTCCATTAGTTCTGTCCCTTTAGAGTTTAAACTACTACCTGACAGTTGTTAGCTTAAATATTGTCTCCTCAAAGAGGCCTTCCGTAGGCACCCTATTTAAAACATGTCAGCGCCATCTCATCCTGTTTTTATCTTTCTTAACCCCTTTTATTGTATCTTTCATATACGCACCCAATTTGAAATTGTTTTATTTCTATATTGTAACAGACCTTTGTTGTTATTTTTGACCCACCAGCATTTGAACCCCCTTCCTGCATAAAAGCCCAACAGGCCAGATACTCACATTCCCAGCCTCCCTTGCATCTAAGAAAGTCCAGTCAATCTGGATGTACTTTCTCAGGGCTGTGAATCAGGTGCTAGTGATGCAAAGAAGTAAGGACCATGGGGAATCCATTTTGGTGGTGGCACTAGAATTGGTGGCAGTGCCATTGTCTGTCACTCGGCCCTTTGACTCAGCAGATCCAGTGGTGTTTGAGGTTTCTATGACCAATTGCCATGCAGTATGAAGCCCAAGAGCAGATTGCTCACATTTCCAGCATGCTTGCTCCTGGGTCATAGTCACCTTTCTCTCAGTCTGCACCTGCAGCCTTATGGAGAGTTCTTGATGACTGTTGACTCATAAGCCAATTTTTCAGCTGGGTATATATGATTCTGCACAATTTTCTGGAACTAGTTTAGAGTGGATCACTATAGCATTAAGGCCCCATTCAGGGTGATCCTGAAAGACAGTGGAGAATAAAATTTTTCCAGTGAGCAGAACATCTTATTTTCTACTTTTCCTGAAAGAGGAGTGGTTCCTTGAGTTGGAAGCTGAGACCACCATCTGGCTTGGGCTTCTCATGCCACAGGGTGAATGAGGAGTTACCACATTGGTAGGGGGAGTTGATTCTGACTATTCAGGGGAAATTGGCTGTAGCTACATGATGAATTCATGGAGGGGTGTAAAGACACCCACGTAATTTCAGGGCACCTCCTCATGATGCCTTGGTTAAATTCAGTGGTCAAAGTTAATGGAAGACCACTGTAATCTCAATCAGGCAGGACCACCAAGGGCTAGTGTCCCTTGGATGTGAAGGTTCAGATATTTTGAGGGAATAGAATATCAACCAGTGAGGGCTGGCTGGAGGTTAAGAGACCTTCAAATGAGTCACAGGGGAAGTGTGGTATAGAATTCTGATTCCTGCCCCGTGATGTGCATGCCCTGTGCAATCTCTTCACCTTGAAGTGATGAAGTGATGCCCTTGACCCCCTGACTTGTGAATATGACAGGATATAACTTGAGTGATTAAGTTTGTATGTGGCAAAGATGAAGGGCTTTTGCAGATGGAATGAAGGTTCCTAATCAGTTGACTCTGAGTTTGTTAAAAAGGAGATCACCGTTGGTGGGCCTGGCCTAACCAGGTAAACCTTTAGAAAAATGTCTGGGGTAAGAGACAAGAAGCAATAGCAAGCTGGGTGCAGTGGCCCATGCCTATAATCCTAGCACTTTGGGAGACCAAGGCAGGAGGATCATGAGGTCAGGAGATCGAGTCCATCCCAGCCAACATGGTGAAACCCCGTATCTACTAAAAATACAAAAATTAGCTGGGTGTGGTGGTGTGTGCCTGTAATTCCAGCTACTCGGGAGGCTGAGGCATGAGAATCGCTTGAACCCAGGAGGCAGAGGTTGCAGTGAGCCAAGATCACGGCACTGCCCTCCAGCCTGGCAACAGAGCGAGAGTCCGTCTCAAAAAGCTTCCATATTGTGGAAAGGACGATGTGTTAGTGAACAACAGGCAGTTCTAGGAGCTGGGAGCCTCAGTCCTATAAGCACAACTACCAAAAATAGCAGTGCGTTTGGAAGAGGGCTCTGAGCCTCAGATGAGATTGCAGTGCTGGATGACACCTTGAGTTCATTTCTTTTATATTTTTAATTTTTATTTTTGCTTGACAGTCTGGATATGTTTGTATGACACCTTGAGTTCAGCCTCGTGAGGCCACGATCAGAGGACCCAGTCAACCTAGACCTACACTTCTGGCTCACAGAAGCTGTGAGATAATACATTTGAGTTATTTTAAGCTGCTAAATTTGTGGTGATTTATTTTACAGCAATAGGAAATCAGTACAAGGCTGGGTGCAGTGGTTCATGCCTGTAATCTCAGCACTTTGGGAGGACAAGGCAGGCAGATCACCTGAGGTCAGGAGTTCGAGACCAGCCTGGCCAACATGGTAAAACCCCGTCTCTACTAAAAATACAAAAATTAGCTGAGCATGGTGGCGGGTGCCTGTAGTCCCAGCTACTCGGGAGGCTGAGGCAGAAGAATCACTTGAATCTGGGAGGCAGAGGTTGCAGTGAGCCGAGATGATGCCATTGCACTCCAGCTTGGGTGACCGAGGGAGACCTGTCTCAAAAAATAAAACAAAATAAAATAAAATAAGAAAACCAATACAAGAAGAGAATAATATATATCAGCTAAGTCCCAGAACCAGTTGCAGAACTACTGACTGTAACTTTTATCCATATTCCCTTCCTTGTGAAATGTGTCTATTTTTCTGTTCTTTAACTGACTCCTCTTTTCTTTCATCCTCCTTTATTGCATTCTTGAATATAGGTTGTTGTGGTGGTATTACTACTACTCAGCAAGATTCTGGTTTTACTTCTCATCTTGGGAGTTACCACCTCGAAGTTAGGCATAGCTGTGTGACCCGCTTTGGCCAATGAAATGTGAACAGAAATGGCATATGTCACTTGTGGACAAAAACATTTAAGCAAGAATTTCCCTTGCTGTCTTCCTTAACTGGAGCGACCATGGAAGCCTGTGTTGAGATGAAGAAGCATGGCAAAAGATCAAAACACTTGAAAACTTGAGCTGCCACATGGACTACAGCTGTGCTGGAGACTTGCCTGGACCCACAGCAGGCTTGGCACGCATGGGGAATAGAATTTTGTTGCATTATGCTCCTCAGATTAGGATGTCATTTGTTATTACAGCATTACCTAGCCTACTCTGACCAATCAGGTGTGTTGGTGGTAGTTACCAGGTGTTAGAAAATAGAGACGTAAGATTACAATACAACTAGAGGAGGAAAACATGTCACCCCAATATCTTGGATTTAGAATTGGATGTTGCTATGGAATGAATTGTGTCCCCCCCAAATTCCTGTGTTAAGTCCCAACCCTAAATGTGACTGTATCTGAAGGTGGGGTCTTTAGGAGGTAATTAAGGTTAAATGAGGCCAGGTGTGGTGGCTCATGCCTGTAATCCCAGCCCTTTGGGAGACCAAGGTGGGTGGATCACCTGAGGTCAGGAGTTCGAGACAAGCTTGGCCAACCTGGTGAAACCCTGTCTCTACTAAAAATACAAAAATTAGCTGGGTGTGATGTTGTGTGCCTGTAGTCTCAGCTACTTGGGAGGCTGAGGCAGGAGAATTGCTTGAACTTAGGAGACAGAGGTTGCATTGAGCCAAGATTGTGCCACTGCACTGTAGCCTGGGTGACAGAGTGAGACTCCATGTCAAAAAATAAGAAGAATTAAAAAAGGTTAAGTGAGATCATAATCCAATAGGAGTATAGCCTTAGAAGAAGAGAAAAGGACCTCTCTTTGTCTCTCTCTGTCACACAGTAAGAAGGCGGCTGGCTGGTTGCAAGCCACAAACAAAGCCCTCACCAGAAAGTGACTATCTTGGCACTTTTCTTTTCTTTTTTTTTTTTTTTTGAGGCAGGGTCTTGCTTGTTGCCCAGGATAGAGTGCAGTGTCATGATCACGGCTCACTGCAGCCTCGACCTCCCAGGCTTGAGAGATCCTCCTAGCTCAGCTTCCCAAGAAGCTGGGACTACAGGCACCTGCCACCACACCCAGCTAATTATTTCTTTCTCTTTTTTGTTTTTTTGTAGAGCCATTGTCCAGGCTGGTCTCAAATTCCTGGGCTGAAATGATCCTACTGCTTTGGCCTCCCACAGTGCAGGGATTACAGTCATGAGCCACTGCCACTGCGCCTGGCCCATCTTGGCACTTTTGATGGTGGACTTCTAACCTTCAGAATGGTGAGAAAATAAATTTCTGTTGTTTAAGCTCCACAGTCTATGGTACTTTGTTATGACAACCTGAACTGACTAAGATGGATGTGATAATTTCTAAGGCTCTGAGTCATCTGTCTTTGGGGAGGAGTGAATTTTTTTTGGCTGCATAAACAAAGGTGATATTATGTTAGGTGATACCCTTAATTTTCTAAGAAATCTAGGATTTGGGAAGAAAGATGTATGTTGATCTTGGATAGCCATAGTGTGAACTATAGAGATATTTATTATTATATTCATTGCCCACAAAGTTAGCCCCTTTCTGTGTTTGAGAAATTTCCTATTATATTACTCTTGGCTACTGGTAGACTTTGCTTTCCATCATAGAATCCCCAAAGGTCACATATTAATTTTCCCAGCCCCCTCTGCACTAGGACTTGGACACATGACCTAGGCTTTGCTAATCATAATCACCTTCCAACGACTGTGAATAGGAAACTAGTAGCGATGTGAAGGAGTGGGGTTATTAGAGAATCTATTTCTGGTGGTGGTAGGAGGGGTGGTAAATCTCTTTTGCAGGAGCAGCTGTAGCTATGATTCCAGAGGTGGCATCTGGCAGGCTGACCACCTAACACTGGTGAGGCTTGGGGCAATAGTAAAAGTGGAGGGCCGCTATCTAAATATTTAAAAGGTAAAAATCAAGCTAACAAGTTGTCAAATGAAAGATGTGTCTGTCTTCCTTACCTTGAAAAATATGCTTGCTTGCTTTCTTATTTTTTTTTTTGAGACAGTTTTGCTCTGTTGCCCAGGCTGGAGTATAATGACACGATCTCAGCTCACTGCAACCTTTGCCTCCCGGATTCAAGAGATTCTCTTGCCTCAGCCTCCCAAGTAGCTGGGATTACAGGCATGCACCACCATGCCTGGCTAATTTTTGTATTTTTAGTAGAGAAAGGGTTTTTCCACGTTGGCCTAGCTGGTCTCGAACTCCTGACTTCAGGTGATCCACCCGCCTTGGCCTCCCAAAGTGTTGGGATTACAGGCGTGAGCCACTATACCTGGCCAAAAAATATACTTTCAAAACAACTTGGAGGCTAGGTTTAAGTTGAGACTTCTTGAACTCCTTGGAGTTCCATGATGGAATGAGGTGGTAAGGGGAGAACCCATCACTAGCCCTCCACTTGTCCCTCTCCTCTTCCTATCCACAGTTCTATCCTTCACCATGAAGGGTCTCATGTGCCTGGGTGTAAACACTCCAGCTCCGAACATACAAGCTCTTTCTACATTCCCTGCAAATAGCTACTTCTTGGCTCCCCTCTGGACCTGGTAGTGTGTATATCAGTGATACAGTCTATCCTAGGAAGAACAGATCTGAGGAAGAGGCCCATATGGATATTGGAAGCTACTTGGGGGCATTTGGGCAGGAAATTCTGTTTTTCAGTTCCTGAAATGTGGTCTAGAAGAAAAGAATGAGTTCTGGGTGGGTGCTCCCTTGATTCTGTGGACTTTTTTTCCCTGTGTCCAGAGATATGATTAGAGGAGGGCCAGATTAGGGTCATCTAAAACATAGAATGTAGGGCAAGAGCCCCAGTTGTCTCGACATAAGCGTTGTCTTGGCCACTTGGCATCCCCTTTTGGTGGTGTAACCATGCTGTCTTGGAGGCCTATCTGGACCATCTGTACTGTACTGTATGCTCTGGGAGTGGTTCTGGCTGCCTAGGCTCACTTATTCTTGCTATTTTCTGCATCTTCCCAGGGTCTTTTTAAATAAACTCCTTTTCTGTTGGAATCAGCCAGTGAGTTTCAGTGGCTTGCAAGTAAGAATCCTGATCAACACTTTTGTTTATTTGCCTTCTGTTTTTGGAGGAGAGGGGGAAGCTTCATGAAGACCAAGACCATATCTATCTTGTTCACTATTGTATCACCAGCACCTAGAATAGTGCCTGGAATGAATAAGTGTTCTGGGTTGCAGACAGTGATGAGACATCTCTTTAGACATGAGGGGTTTTCCGAGGGCTGGAACCCTATATGATGGCAGTGCTGAGACTCCTGGGGGCCCTACACTAACATTCAGAGCGATACTCTGGCACGCAGTGCTGCCATACAGGAACCATTTACATAGACTACAGAGAGGATGGTGCCCCCTGGAGCTGTGCAGTGCTGCTGTGCTGCCTGACAGGTTTAAGTGTTCCTGACAGTGGTAGGGTTTCCTGAGAGGAATGGTGGCTTGATAGTAATGGGGAGACCTTGACATTAATGGGAGTCCTGTCAGCAATGAGGACATCATAGATATTGGGACATCCTGTCAGGGATGGGGGTTCCTAAACTGATGAGCACTTTACAGTGTTGAGGCCCTGACGGAAGGGCTGGCTTCCTCTTGGGAGAGGACCCTTGAAATGATGGTTTGACAGGAATGAGGTCGACGTGGTGATTGGGGTTTGGATGGTGTTAGGCTCAGATTTCCAGGGACCGGGATTCTGAGATCAAAAGCCCTAGGAGATCTGGTTGTCCCAGAATGGTAGTGTTCCCGCGGCTGGGGTGAAAGCTTTCCCACCTCTGCCAAGTTGGAACTGAGGGCGGCTCTTATCTTCTGCATCCCACTGGAGCCACGGGGAAGACCCAAAGGCCCTAGAAGTAGGGTGGGGAGGCCTGATTCCCTCATCTACCCTGATCCTTAGAGGTTCTGTCCTCGCTCTTTTCTTCCAACTCTGCCCTTCCTGCCCCTGGCCCCTTGGGAGATGAAAGTGCTCCTCAGAAATGGGTCTTTTGAGAGTTGATACTGCCCTGCTGCCCTCAGATGCTTTGCTCTTCAGAGGTCCTCTGCCACCTGCCGATCAGACGCCGGGCCCCACTCCTTTCCAGGAGCCCTGCCTGTCAGAGGGTTTCTTATCCTGCCTCTACCCCTACCCTCCAGATCCCCAGCACTGTCCCTACATTCCTCATTTCCTTTCAATATCACCAGGTCCTGGCATCTGATACTCCCCTGGGAATAGAGTAGGGTGGGCATTGCTGTAGCCCAATCCCCTTCTCTACTCCTCTGCCATTGGGAAAACTGAGGCCTGAGTAAAATCCCTCTTTGAGGCTTGGGGGAAGCTGATACCCCTTCTACTGCAGAGGCACAGGAGGTTGGAAGCCCTCTAGGGTGTGTGTCTTTGTGTCTGGGTTCAAGTGCGGGGACCCTACCTGTGGCCACCAGCTTCCTCTCTTGTTTATTTCCCCAGCTTTTTCTAGCAAGCTGAGCTTTTCTACCCCAACTAGACTTCCCAACCCCCAGCCCTCAGTCCAAGTGCTGCCCATCAGGCAGGCTTAGACTGCAATCCCAGCTTTGCCACTCACCAGCTGAGTTGACTTGGGAGGTAATTCTCCTCTCTGTGCTTCAAATTCCTTATACATAGAATGGTACTAATGATACCTCATGGGATCGTTTGAGGGTGCCATGATGTAATGCCAAGAAAGGACTCAGCTTGGAGACTTGCACATGGCCAGCACCCAGAAGTAGCGACGTTCCCTATTCCCATGGGCCGCTTCTCCACTTCTGGCCCTGCTATACTGTTCTCCATTTGTAATTAGGAGATAGGTCAACTTGGAGAAGTGGTATGTGTAGTAGTTCAGAGTAGATATTCCGGAGCCAAACTGCCCAGACAGGAACCCCAGCTCTGCCTTTTTTCTAGTTGTCCAGCCTGGGCAGGTGACTTAACTTCTGTACCTCAGTTTTCTCAGCTGCAACATAAGAATGGTAATAGCACTTAAAGCAGTGCCCAGTACCTGGTAAGCATTAGTGGTGAATTAGCTAATACTCAGAGCCATGTCCTTCCATGTGGACAAAGTCTCAGGGGTCACCTAGGAAATTATCTGACCAGAGAAATGCCTGCTAATTCCTACAGAGGGGCACTTGGAGGAAATTTCCCAATTAGGAGTCCTGAGCCTTCACAAAACTGTTATTTCTAAGATTTTCTGGTGGTTTCTGAGTTTCCCGTAGCCTAGAAGGAGGGGGTGACATGGAGCTTGCCTGCCGAGAAGCTGAATATGAGATGATCAAAACTTGATCAAAACCGTATGAAGCTGGCTCTGAACAAACGCTCAACCACACAGCAGAGATAGCCCCGGCTGTCTTGAGAACTGGATGTGCTCCTGGTGGGGGGCGGGGCATGGTGGGAAAAGGCCATGTTCAGTTCCATTTTTGTTAATCATATGTGTATTGGGGCTTATTTTGTACCAGACCCTGTCAGAGCAATGTTGGCAATGGAGTTGGATGAGGCCCAACCTTTCCCTCGGGAGCTCTCTCAACAAATAGAAAAGGGAGCTTTTCATCACCCAAAGGCTAAGAGAAACCTGAGCAGAGGTGTCAGATACTTTTAGGAAGATATTGGCTACTGAGATATTGGCCTTTATGATGGGAGGTATCACCCAGCTGCAGGCCTTGAACCTGTAACAGATGCCATGTGCCCTAGAGAGGAAGGTGTCTATCTAGAGGCAGGCAACAAGGCCTCCACATCCTAACTGGGGAGCTAGGAGTCCACACCACTCCTCAGAGGGCTGGCAATCTCTAGTGGGCTCCTAGCCCACCAGAACTCTGGATAAATGAAGATGCAACAATCGTCAGTGACTCACCATGAAGCAGAAAGCAGATGTTGATTAAATGGAGTCACAGGGCTGAGAATGTTAGAGTGGGGCAGGATGCTCAGTTGCTCCAGTTGCTCAGATTGCTGAGCTTATGTACCTGACAGGGAGATAAGACCCAGTGTCCAGGATGGGTCGATATGGTTGGGGGGTGGGAAAAAGAGGAAGGCAAAAAGCTAGGATGGAAAGCACTGGCTATAGAAGGGGTGGGGAGGGTTGCATGCCAGCTCCCCTAGGGCTCTGGTGTCCACCCCCTCAGATTTCCTTCAAATTCTTCATTTCCCAGGCTTCCAGGGTCAATTGAATCCAAGGCACTTCACTAGCTCCTAGACTATTTTCTCTTTTTCTGAGCCTCAGTTCTCCTTTGATCTCAGAAGGTGGCCCCAGGGAGCGTTTTCTGGATGTGCAAGACTTTGTGGGGTATCTATGCAAATGCTGGCGGTTTAGTATAAGAACTAAAGAATCAGGAGCCAAGTTGTTGTTTGGAAGGAGTCTCGAAAATCAAGCTTCTCTCTCCCATCTGACAAATGGGGAAACTGGGTCTTGGGGTGCAGAATGGAAAAGGAACTTGCCCAGAGTCGCACAATGAGTGGGGCAGAGACAGGATCATGAGACTCTGGCCCAGGCAGTGAATTCAGGATTTGCTCTGTACCTCCTGGCAGCAGTGTCATGGAGGTAGTATCCAGGGGCCCCTGTCCTGGTAGCATATTCTTCAAGGCTCCCACTCTCACCTGCCCTGCTCTGTCTGTGTGTTCCTCCGATAGTCCAGAGAGATCACTTTTGTTGCTTCTGTGGCAGACTGACTTCCTGTAAATGTCACTGGCACTGAGAGGGTTTTCAGGCAATATGCTCCCCCCACCCCCGCCATGTGCATTTGTCCTCTGAGACACCAGCCTGCTGGGATGCGGGGCAGGGGATCCACAGCTGGGAGATGTAGAACGCCATGGCTGGCTGGCTCGGTGGATGGATGAAAGAATGGCTGGGTGGGAAGTGGGTGAGTGGATGGTTGGATGGATGGAGGTCTGATGAATGCAGAAACAGCTGAATGAATGGATGCATGGATGCATGATCCCAGGTGATTCTAAGACCTGGGATACCCAAGGTTTTGAGCACTTGCATCTGGGAGCAGAGGAGAGGAAGAGGATGTCATCCTGTCAGTGAGGAGGGGCTGCCACAACTCCCTCAACATTTCTCCCTTTTCTTTTTTTTTTTGAGACGGAGTCTCGCTCTGTCACTCAGGCTAGAGTGCAGTGGCTGGATCTCAGCTCACTGCAAGCTCCGCCTCCCGGGTTTACGCCATTCTGCCTCAGCCTCCCAAGTAGCTGGGACTACAGGCGCCCGCCACCTCGCCCGGTTAGTTTTTTGTACTTTTTAGTAGAGACGGGGTTTCACTGTGTTAGCCAGGATGGTCTTGATCTCCTGACTTTGTGATCCGCCCGTCTCGGCCTCCCAAAGTGCTGGGATTACAGGCTTGAGCCACCGCGCCCAGCCCATTTCTCCCTTTTCAAGGCCTGCCCAGGCCTGGTTTTGTTGCTGGCTGAGGTATACCTGATATAACGACGGCCTCTCTTCCCAGGCAAGGGTGCTCAATCTGGCCGCCTTGCTCTCATCTGACCGCAGTGGCACAGACTTGTCACTCCCAGCTGGAGAGGGCCTTAGAGAACACCATCTGGAGGCCAGCCTGCTTCCCCAGGGGACTTCTCAAGTACGAGGCCCTCACTCTGTACAGAGAAGCCCTGTGGGATGCTCCAAGAGTCAGACGGCTCTCATCTCCCAGAGCTGAGATTCCTTTCTGGTCTCATCTGGGGAGATGTCTCTCGTCTCAGCGTTGCCTTTGAGCCCTGGAGCCCATGTAGACTGTAGGGGTGGTGGTAGGGCTCCTCTATGCGGAATCTCTTGTGTTTCCCTGGCTACTCCTTCTTCCACCCCGTGGGCCTCTCTCCTGTCTCTGACCTCTGACTTCCATATCTGTCTGTCAGTGTCCCTGAGAGGCATGGCCCCAGGATTGTAAAGATGGGGCTGGACCTTGCTCAGTTTGGCTGAGAGAGGAAGGCTGGCCTGGAAGTCAGATTCTGTATGGACAGAATGGACAGATGGGCCCTCAGCCCTGGCTTCTGAGTCTTTCCTCATATATTTATTCATTCACTAAACAAATATTTATTGAGGGACTGCCTTGAGCCAAGCAGCATGCTGGACACCAGAAATACAGTGGAACCCAAAAGAGATGTGATCCCAGTCCAAGAACATGGACAAATTTGGACAAACCAGCAAATATAAGTCAGTATGATGAATGCTGTGAGGGGCTACTACAGGAGGCTACCTAACCCAGCCTGGGGTCAGGGAAGGCTCCCTGGATGAAGAGGCATCTGGACCCAGATGGGAAGCCAGGTGGGCAGAGGAGAGAGAAGAGTGTGCCAGACCAAGGGAAGGGCGTGGGTGGACGGGTATTTTCCCCCTAGGCAGTAGAGCTGGGTCCTTTGCCCCACTCCACCTGCCCCAGCCATGAGAGCTGATTCCCCACAACTCCCTTCCCCTGAGTGACACCGGATCCCTCAGACACCTGGATGCTTGAACACCTGCTTTGGAGAGCAAAGACTGGGAGGCATGAGACACTGGCTCACTCAGGGAACTGATCCAAGCTTAGTGTTGCTGAACTATGGAAAGCAGTGAGGCTGATCCTGAGAGCATCAGGTTGTTAAGTGAAGGTGAGCGAGGAGATCCCTTAGGCCACAGAAGAGAAAATAGATACTGCCATTCTACCTCCCCCTTCCTATTCCTGTCCTCCTGGCTAGACAGCAAACAGACAGCAGACAGATCTATGGGTGCCAGGTGGCTTTTTTTTTTTTTTTCTTTAAGGCTAGTCAAGCAGTGGGAGTGGAGAAGGAAGAAAGAAATCTGTAACTGGTTGTGATCAATTAGTTGTAAACACCAGGTGGTTTTATTGGTAGCATTGCAGTCTGGGGGTGGAGCAGCTTTACTCTGACCACGCTCACCCTCTTGCTCACACTCACACGCACACACACCCCAGGCCCTGTCCTGGCTGGTCAGGTCTGGTGCAGAGGAGCTGGAGGCCTGGTGCTTCCTTCTGGTCCTCGGTTCCCCAGATTAGGTAATAATTCACAACGCTTCACTCGGACTCCAGGCTCCCTCTGGTGCTGTCATGGGTTAACTGCTGCGGCGCTTCATCTAGAGGAGGCAGGAAAGGAAGGGTCACAGGCTGGAATCTTAGACAGGAGCTCAGAGGAAGGATACAGGGCCAGGGAGGCCAGGCTTGCCTTGGTTGAGGTCCTCTGCAGTCTCTGGATGATGCGTTCTACCCAGGACTGGTCTGGGGGTGCACAGAGCTGGCGGCCCCTCAGTGTGGTGAACCTGGGGTGAGAGGTCAGAGAGAATGGAGCCCCAGAATCCAGCATATCTGGGGACCATGTCTGGGAACCTGTTTCAGGGATTTCCTTGAAGGGATTGGGCTTGGCATGGAGAAGGGGAATAAGAAGGTGGGAGTCTCAGCAGGGGCTAAAAAGGGAGATGAGGCTAGACACCCTCCCCACCACTCACACCACAGCAGGCACCCTGCAGCCATCCTTGATGAGAAGGTAGCGGAAATTCCTCACGATGTACCCCGGGATGGGTTTCTGGGTCACAGACAGGCAGCAGTCTTCAGCATCATTGGTGCCACTCAGAGTTGGGGCTGGGATGGGGAAAGAAGGTGACAGGACACAGGGCCCTTGAGGGTGGCGTGGCCATGGCCCTAGCTCGGATTAAGGACACCTCTGTGTGTGTATGTGTGTGTGTGTGTTTGTGTGTGTGTGATGGGGTAGGGGAGGAGTTAGACCTGGTATTTAACCAGCATGCACCAATATGGCTCTGGCTCTGCTGGTTGCTAAACATATTGTCATACTTCTAAACTGTTTTGCAAATAACCACTGCCCTGAGCCCCACAAATGACTTCCTGCTGCCCTGATCACCCCAACCTCTCTCCCAAGACAATCCAGCAAGTAAAGAGTTAATGCAAGTCACAGTGTGGGAGGGGTGTGGGGTGGGGTAGGCTGGTGTTAGGAGCCTTATTAATTGCTAAATTTTTGAATATCAGCCTTGGCTTGGTGTCTGCCATTCTCCCTACCTTAAGCAAATCTCCTTCTGCCTGGGAAATGGAGGCAGCAGGAAATAGAGCTTGCAGAGACAGCCACAGCCATAGGCCCCAGGATGTACTAAGAGACACACCTGCATTGGAATTCAGGGGCACAGGGATACCCACACTAACAGGCACACATGCAGGGACCCGCCAGGCTCACCGAAACATGCAGACCTAAGCATTCGCCTGAACTCACCATGTCCCTTACGTCCAGTGCCAAGCAATCTGAGATCTAGACATTACCCACTGCCAGCCCCTCACTGCCCCTGACCCTGACTCTTCCTTCAGCCTTACCTGGGGAGGTCCAGAGAACCAGCAGGCTGAGGGCCAGTAGCAGGGCCATGGAGGGTGAACAGAGGCAGGCCAATGGCGAATATGTAAGTGCCAGCTGTCTTGGTGTGTGCAGGATCTGTGCGAGGCTGCAGGGCGACTGGGATGCAGGGGTGAAATGCAAAGTATGAATGATGTGAGGCTGGGAATGTGAGTCCTGCAGCTGACTCCTATTTATGGCCAGAGCTTCACTTTCTCTGCCTGAAATTCCCCTTCATGTCCCATTCTGTGATTCCCCTGTTACCTCCCTCTTTCTGGCAGAATCTCACTCTGCCCCTCCTTCTTCCCCACTGCGGTTGCCCTTTCCTTCTGCTTTCCTTGGCTCCTGCTCTGAGAACTTAAGTCTGCAGTCTGGCCCAGTAAAGGGGTTTGTGCACTGTTTCTCCAGAGAAAGGGATTGCTCTGTCATCCCATCGGTGGCATTTGCATCATCAATCATGGAGCTGGGGTTCAAAAGTGATGGTCAAAGGTGGGGCTCCCTTCCTTAGGTTTATCCCTTGTCCTCACTGGTGCTTCTTTCTTGGGAGGCTGATGGTGAAGAAGGCTCCCTGGCACCCTCAGGACAACCATGAGAGCCTGGGGTGGCCTCCAAGGTCCCACCACATGGGAACCAGTCCTTCCCTTGGGGCAAGCAGAGCTGAAAGGCCAGGTACCTTGGGAAGAGACCCAGGACCCCCATCCCACATCTCTGGCCTCTGGGGCTCAGCAAGCCCTCCCTTTCCTCCGTTTACCATTTTCCTATGTCCAACACCTGGGTCAAAGGAACAGCTGGAGGGAGACTGGCTTGGAATAGCCCCCTTCATTTTCCCCCTTTTCTCAGTCCTGGGAACCAAGAGGGGATTTCTAAGGAGAGGGGCTGGCCAGCTCATATTCAGACAAATCTTAAAATTTCAAGGAATCGGCTGATGGAGGAGGGGACAAGTGACTTCCCCCTTATGAGAAAGGTCAGAAGAGAAGGCCTCAAAAGAGAAACTAAATATGAAACACCCATTCACCCTTCGTCACCCAAGTCCTAGACCCTCTCTTGGATGCGGAGAGGGAGGGGGAACATTTCCCTCTTAAATTTCTGACTTAGCTTCTTTCCATTCATTAATCATAATAATAGTAATGGTATTTTTTGATTGTTTGCTATGTGCTAGGCTCTATGTCAAGGACTTTACCACTATTACCTTGCTTAACTTTCCCAAAACAATATAATTGATGTAGTTTTTCTTATTTTCGCGTTATTATTCTTATTTTACCCATAAGGAACATGAGGCTCAGAGCACAAAGCCACACAGCTAGTAAGTACTGGAGCATGATTTGGACCCAGGTGTGCTCTAGGGTTTACACTCTTTACCTTCACCCCACACCACCTGTCTACCACTTGGTCATGGCACAGCACGGGTAGTACACGGTGCAGAGGAGGGAGACTCTGCAGACAGAGCGCCTAGCTTGGGATTCAGATTCCACCACTTACTAACTGCGACAAGATGAAAATTCTCCAGTTTCTGTGTCTTAGTGTCCTTATTTGTAAAATGGGAATGGTAGATCTACATCTCAGGATTAAATGAGGTACCCTGAGTAAAGCCCTTAAAAGCCCTTAGCTTAGAGGCTGATGCACAATAAGTTCTGTTAGCCATTGTTCTTCTTTTGTCCTTTCTTTTTTTTTTTTGGGACAGAGTCTCCCTCTGTCACCCAGGCTGGAGTGCAGTGGCGTGATCTTGGCTCACTGCAAGCTCTGCCTCCCGGGTTCACGCCATTCTCCTGCCTCAGCCTCCTGAGTAGCTGGGATTAGAGGCACACACCACCCCGGCTAATTTTTTTTTTTTTTTGAGATGGAGTTTCACCCTTGTCACCCAGGCTGGAGTGCAATGGCACAATCTCGGCTCACTGCAACCTCCGCCTTCTGGGTTCAAGTGATTCTCCTGCCTCAGCCTCCTGAGTAGCTGGGATTACAGGGACCTGCCACCATGCCCGGCTAATTTTTTTTGTATTTTTAGTGGAGACGGGGTTTCATCATGTTGGCCAGGCTGGTCTTGAACTCCTGACCTCAGGTGATCCACCCGCCTTGGCCTCCCAAAGTGCAGGGATTACAGGCGTGAGCCACCGTGCCTGGCCTAATTTTTGTATTTTTAATAGAGATGAGGTTTCACCATGTTGGCTGGTCTCGTCTCAAATTTCTGACCTCAGGTGATCCACTCACCTCAGCCTCCCAAAGTGCTGGGATGACAGGCTTTGGAAACACTGTTCCCTCCTCTTGCCCCTTCAAGCCTTTGTATGGTAATGGCTTCTCCCCATTGCTAGACCCCAACAGCTTATCATCCCATGTTGGTTCCTTAATATTGACCCAATCTCTTAAATTGTCCTTTTATTAAAATCTTTCCAATTAAATTTTTTTGAGTGTATGTGATATTGTGAAATATATATCTGGTCTTCATCTTCCTTTTCTGACATATAGCTCCTGAAATCCTTGGAATCTTGGGATAGATTGTGTCTTTTGTATGCTAATGAGATAACTGGTGGCTGGAGGCCTCTAGACAGCTTCTGGATAGGAGCTGGTCAGCAGAAGAACCAGCCACATGGTTAGAGAGTTGGAACATTCTCTAACATTCTCTAGTGGTGGGGAGTCCCACCCACTCCCCACTTCTGGGTAGGGGAAGAGGGGTTGAAGCTTGAGTTGATAAACCAATGGCTGATGATGTAATCAATCATACCTATGTACTGATACTTCCATTAAAAACCCGAAAGGATTAAGTTGGCGTAGGGGCTTCTGGATAGCTGAAAACATGGAGGTTCTGGAGGAGGGTGCCCAGAGAGGGCATGGAAGGTCCACACCTTTTTTTTTTTTCCCATACCTCACTCTATGCATCCCTTTCATCTGGCTGTGTATCTGTCCTTTCTAATATCCTTTATAATAAATGGGTAAGCATAAGTAAATGTTTCCCTGACTTCTGTAAGCCGCTCTAGCAAATTAATTGAACCCCAGGTGGGTTGTGGAAACCCCTATTTATAGCGGGTCACTCAGAAGCATAGGCCAAAATCTGTGCTTGCAATTGGTATCTGAAGTAGGGGGGCAGTCTTGTGGAACTGAACCCTCAACTTGTGGGATCTGATGCTACCTCCAGGTAAATGATGTCAGAATTGAATTGAATTAGAGGACACCCATCTGGTGTCCACTGAGGAACTGTCTGCCAGAGAATTTCTCGGTGGGGAGAAAAATCCCACACACTTATGAATAACCAGAGGTCACAGAAGTATTGAGTGGTGAGAGGGAGTAGAGAGTAGGGAAACATGGTTTTCCCTGTATCCTTGGAGTGTGCTATGTTTCCTGCCAGGGTTCTCACTGATATAATTGGTAGTACCAGGACATAGATTCCCAAAGTGCAATTCTAGGATTGGCTTGCCCTTGATGAGGGCATGGATGGTCTCTGTGCTTGGGAAAAGAGGACACAAGTAATCTGGAGCATGTAGAAGCATCACAGTCACTTAGACTATCACTCGTGAGGCATGGATGAAACGTTGGAAGTTAAGACATTAGGAGATAAAGTACCTGAGGCACTTACTTACTATGGCCACAAATGATGATTGTAAATGGTGATTACTATATTGTTACTATAGTACTATATTGAGGCCAGAACCTCACTGGCCATTTCTGATTGTGCTAGTAAAATTCCAATATAAAAGATAAGGTTAGGCCAGGCACAGTGGCTCACGCCTGTAATCCCAACATTCTGGGAGGTTGAGGGGGTCAGATCACTTGAGGTCAGGAGTTTGAGACCAGCTTGACCAACATGGCGAAACCCTGTCTCTACTAAAAATAGAAAAATTAGCCAGGCATGCTGGTGGGTGCCTGTAATCCCAGCTACTCGGGAGGCTGAAGCAGGAGAATTGCTTTAACCTGGGAGACAGAAGTTGCGGTGTGCAGAGATCATGCCATTGCACTCCAACCTGGCAACAGAGCGAGACTCTATATAAAAAAAAAAAGGTTAGACCATGAACTTCTAACTCAAATGGAAGTCTTAAGGAATGTTTATTATATGTGGCCACATGACAGATATGGCTGAGGATCAGATCCAAGACCCAAGTGTCTTGGATTCATGTCTGAGTGATGATGCCCTTATGCTAGAATAAAGGCACTGTTGGGAAGGCATAGGACTCTGAAACTTGGAATGGTGACATTTGAGCAGAGATGAACAAAGCTGAGAACTCTGGACCTTCAAATCCCCCTGAATCTTCCTTGGTGGCAGAAAATAATTCCCCCTTCCCCTGTAAACCATGAAGGATCTAACCTTCCCTTCCATTAGATAATAACTCTCTGTCAAAGGGCATGCCTTTTCTCCTCAGGACCCACCCTGACCAGACCTCAGAGTCTCCAGGCCCATATTTCGAGTTCAATCCTAACATTGTTTAGACAGGAAAGTACAGGATGTGCTCCAAGAGCAAGAGTGTAGGTGCTGGGAAATTTGCAGGAACTTGTCAACTTGTCCTGGGAGAATCCCAGGAACCAGTGAGGACAAATTTACTGATATAGGTGTCCTCATGCACGATTTGGGTATCATTGTGTTAATATTAGCTGAGCACCTGGGAGTTGTGTTAATATTCTGTTGGGTTGATTCCTGGAAGCCTGGATTTGACAGTGGCCTGTGATCAGTGAGGTTGAGGTGCTAGAACCTCGCTGGCCTGCTGTAGAACACAGCTCCTCAAACTTTAATGTGTGCATGATTCACCTGGGAGAATCTTATTAAATTGTAGATTCTATTCAGTAGGTCTGGAGTGAAGCCCAGGATGTTTCATGTTTCACATTTACAATTTTGTTTTGTTTTTATTTTTGAGACGGAGTCTTGCTCTGTCGCCCAGGCTGGAGTGCAATGGCACCATCTCGGCTCACTGCAACCTCCACCTCCTGGGTTCAATCTGTTCTCTTGCCTCAGCCTTCCAAGTAGCTGGGATTACAGGCGCACGCCATCACACCCGGCTAACTTTTGTATTTTTAGTAGAGATGGGGTTTCATCATGTTGTCCAGGCTGGTCTCGAACTCGTGACGTCAGATGATCCACCCACCTTGGCCTCCCAAAGTGCTGGGATTACAGGCCTGAGCCACCACACCTGGCCTTCATGTTTCACAAACTTTTAAATGATGCTGATGCTGTGGTCCTTGGACTATACTTTGAATAGTAAAGTAGAGGAAGAGGTTCAAAGGTTAGAAATGAATGT